TTTTTGAGGGGACCCAAAAAACGGAGTCTCTTTCCTTATGCAACTTCCTTGGGCGCAGCGAGCGCGGCCCTTCCCCCTTCCCTGCATCCCTGGGCCCGCTCCTTTGGCCACCCCGCCGCCCGCGTCTGGAACACCCACTCGAGACCATCCAAAGTGTACACGCACAGAGAGGGTTTTTAGTCTTTTCAATTAAGGGAAAATGAGGTGAGAAATAGGATTTTTTTTTTTTTTTTTTGCGCGGGGCCGGGGTGGCCGAGGGCGAGTGCGGCGGGTGTTGATGGGCATGGTCGGTGATGCCCTCTCTGGGCTTGCAGGCTCTGCACTGCCCATCTCTCGGTCGCGTGGATTTTTTTGCGCAAGTTGGTTTGCTTTTTAAAAAAAAAAAAAAAACACTGACTCGAGTCAAGAGCATTTCTCCGGAAAGTTTCAAGTGCAGCAAAATAGCGAACGCGTAAAACTGGCCGAGGGGAGACCTCTAGCGGTTAAAGGCGGCTGCGGTCGCAGGGCCCCGGGCAAAGTTTGGCCTGTGACTTGTAGCTACGTCGCCCGTTCCGCTCCGACGTGGAAGCACCAAGACCAGAGCTAGCTGATCAGAAAAACACACTTTAGCCAAGCGCAGGACGGCCTGTAACTCCCGCCTGTCATTAGTTAAATGGAAAACCACTTTGCTTCTTTTTTTTTTTTTAATTTGAAGGAGTTTGAAATTGATCGCCCATTGGATTAGGGACCAGGCGCCCTGGTGGCGCGGGGGCAGAGCACTCACCTGCCATCCCAAAGGCAGAGCAGGAGAGCAGGATGGGGTAGCCTTAAAGATATCCAGCCCTGGCATCCCTCTGGGGCAGGTGTACCCTGTCTTACAGGGTCTTAATCCACTTTCTGGCAGGGGCTGTTTTCTTTGCAAACAGTCGCATTTATATTTATGGTTGTATCTACCTATGAGTCGAAATCCACTCGATGGCAAACGGGTATGGCTTTGATTTGGCTTCTAAGTCACCATAATTTTTATTTTCGAATGCTAAAATTTACAAAGTGCAGTGTTTTTTCGACGTTTCAAAGTGAAGAAAGTCACTGCTTAAAGCTTGTGTTTCAGTGGCAGACTGATCATTTTATTTCCCAGTAAATTTAAAGCTAATAGTGAGTTTATCTGAATAGCGCATGTGGTTACTTTTTTGTTACTTTGTTTCACTGAGTAAAGAGTGGTTTCTGAATACTTTGAATAACTCGTGGTTTAAACACATATATATGGGTAAAAACGCCTACATAAATCTGTTCTTTGGCTAGTTTTTATTCCACGAAGTAGCTTTAAATTCAAAATTGAGAACAATAAATGAATTAAAGTTGCTTCAAAAGATCCCTCTAACTTTCACCTGTTTATTCCATCCTTTGTGATACTTTATTGGAGAAACTTAGGATGTGGGAATGATTAAAATCCATTACACCTTATCTCAAACTGGGCTGCCTTTAGCTTAATATATGGAATCGTGCAGACTTATGTATGCACGAGGGACTCCAGTTTCAAGTTATCATTAATTGTACATGAATTGTGTGATAGGAGGGCATCTCTCTGTTTATGACAATGCCTTGATTTTACCTTTTTTTCCCAAATCCATGCTAGACCTTCAGAAGAGGTCTTGAAAGTGGACAGCATTCTTCAACGCCGCCAGGGATTTCTTTCTTCAAGACCACAAGGTAAGATTGGTATATTGAAATAATTGCTTGCAAATACTTGACATGATCAAGGCTGCATTTGAGGATCAGGAATAAAAGGGTGGGACAGGCTGGCAGAAGGAAAACAAGCAAACAAACAAAAAACTTGGTTTTGATGTATAAAAATGACCTCAGGTATGATTGAGGCTTGAATAAAACACTTGGAAAAGTTACTAGCTTGGATACTCTTTGGGTCAGCTTCATTGGCTAGATGCGTAATTGGCATTCAATTTCCCCTATTTTCTGCTGAAAGTAAATTATTCTTTGGGATCAAAAAAGTGGGAAAGGTGGAACAAAGTGACCATAATGTAATAGTGATGCAGAAATCTGGGAGATCTAGAGCTTAACTTTAAATACCCTTGGGGCCCAGTAGTAAAATTGTATAGCTGAAACTGAAAAAGATGAGCACTTTGGGGTATTTGAGTAAATGATCTCCTGTGACTTCGATCTAAGGTGGGCTGATTGGTGCTGATAACCGCCTCGTAGTATGTAGTGTTCAGTTCCACCATGTTAGGAAAGACTTGCCAACTTTTGAACACGTGAATACAGCTGTTGTTTATGTTGCTGTTAAAGCCATAGAGCAGGTCCCAGTTCACAGAGACCCCGTGAATAGCAGAAACCCAAGCTGCCCAGTCCTGTGCCATGTTCACCATTGTTTTTTGAGCCTGTAAGTTCACAGTAATAACTTGGAGTGGGTGGGAGGGTGGCTTGTCTCTGAAAATCCTGGTGCTACTTTCAAGACAGGTCATTCTTAGGTGTAGAGGAGAGACACCTGTTTGGAGCGTATAATTACATTTCTGACAATCTGTACTGATAATGCATTTGTTTTGTTTTTCTTTTCATAAGTTCTCTTCGAGCGCCCTCCTCTCTTCTGCCTCTTTTCATGCGCCTTCTTTCTTTGTCTTGAGTGCTGAAGGTTCAGCTGGCTGATTGTTGTTCGGATAAAACAAGAGAAAATAAAAATTAGCCTGACCTTTTATGAGCAGGACTGATCATTCCGATTGGACCACCTTATAATTGGGGCAGGTGTGGTCTACAAGTCCAGAACTAAGTCGTCACAGACATAAGAAGTGGTGATTAAGAGGAGTCTTCTTTTCATTCTGTGCTTGTGGATCCTCTTGAACAACGTAGTTGGCAAATAGAGGGTTTCTGTAGAGGATGCAGCACGGACAATGTGACAGCCAGGATGAGAACATCCAGCAGGCCGAGTCCAGTGTACAGAGAGCATACGACGTGTTTCCTAGGACAGTGAGGTCTTTGGTTAGACACACTGAGTTGAAAGCTATGGTTGTTTGTCTTCATTTGGAGGCTTATTTTGTATATGAGTCGAATGCTAGTTTAAAAGATAAAAGATGAATTTAGTCACTAGATTTGTTCTTCTAGAAACCATTTTACCTCTCGGTGAAGTTTTCCCCATGTGGAAAATGGAAGCAACGATATTTACCTTGCTTCTTTTTTATAAGAGCCAAGTAAGATTTGACAACTTTGAAGAGTTAGTCCAACTCTTTGTATTATCATTTTGCCATAGTCAGACTTTGTGGAAGACAAATGGTAGGTAGATTGGGACTGAAATTTGAGATCTGCTTTTGGCGTGTATATTATTTGGATTTTATTTTTAATCAAGTGATGCCACATTCTTATGCAGATCACACAACTCCAGTAATGTGCATACTACATGTATGTGTAGGCTAATTGCATGGTCTGGTTAAATGCAAAATAAATATGTGTGTATTTTACAGTCTTGACCGCTTGAAAAAGAGACCACATTTTCCCGTGGTCCTGAATACAAGACTCTGTCTACATTTAGTTATCCCAAAGTGGTCATTTAAGAAGGAGGAGTAAATGAAAGAAGTAATTCAAATGTAAAAACATGCTTAATTCTGGAAATAGTAGGATGATGAAAATAGAAGGATTGGTGTGAGGGGAATCCTTGTACTATAATTAATATTTTAGTTGCTGGAGCCTGCTGGGAGAAAAGCATGAAAAAATAGGTAACTGGGGTAGTAAAAATGTATACTGGAGGGGCCAGAGAAATGCGTCCTGTGAATGACTATGGATTTAGAGAAAGGCCTATAGAGGGCTTTCTGCCTCCACCTTTCATGTTATCTAGACTCATGTGTTACTCTAGTCTAATGATAGCGAGGGATTCTAAAATCTATCATTTGAAAACGACAAATACTTATCCTGCCATTATTTTTAATATGTTGCAACTAAACCTGAACAAAAGAATCCTGTCAAGTTTTGAGATTTAATTTCATCTCTCTCTTCTTGTAGGTTATCTGATCACTATTCTGAGAATCCAAAAATCAATAGTTGAGGGAAGCAAAACATTTATGTCCGGCTTAATGAGTCCCTGAGTAATCGAGAGTTGCCTCAAATTGTTTCCACTATTGTTTGGTAGTTTGTTTCTATTACTATATCGCCACCAAGGCTGTGTGTAGCAAATGGAGTCAGGATGAGAGCAGTTACTTCAGGTGCTTCTTGAACAAGGCCACTCTTGGAGACCCACGATGAGTCAACTGCATGATCTCTGCAGCAGTGGCCCCACTGTTTACGGAACCAGTTTTTATTGCGCTGCTACAGTGCTAAACACTGAAAAACTACATGTTTGCCCTTAAGGAGGTCACTAGCCCACTGAACTCTGAACTGTACGACTAACAGTATAACAGTGGCATGGTGGGCCGGTAAAAAACAGAGTAAGGCCTCCAGCTGTGTTTGGAGCCAGTGAGCCAGGAAGTGTGACTTGTGGGGTTCACTAATACAGGGCCATGGCCTGTACTTATGTTCACAAAGCACAACGTTATATTCCTTTTGGGGCATAGCCTCTAGAAATGAATAAGAAGCTGTGCACCCACTGTGAAGAAATCCCTGGTTGCGTATCTCTGTATGAGTGGGCTGGATTATTTATTTGGCCATTGTATGCGTAAGGTGACTTACTGGGAAAAATCCCTGCTGGCTAAGAACAAGGAACTCATTCCTCAAAGCACTTGGGATTATGGTATAGGAGGAGCCATGGTTTGTAGAGAGAACTATTTGGTGGGTAGTGTGTTAAACACTGAGTTGCTAACCACAAGTTTAGAAGTTTGAACCCATCAGCCACTCTGGGAGAAGGATGAAGCCTTCTACTCTCGTGAAGATTTCCAACCTCGCAGACCCAGTGGGACTGTTCTACTCTCACTTAAAGGGTTGCCGTGGGTTGGAATTGAATGGATGGCACTAAGTCTTATTTAATGTGCATATTTGTGTGTGTATTCATGTACAATGCTTCACTAGAAGTTTTTATTATAAAAATTCTTCAATGTCTAATGGGAATATTCTCCGGTTATCTCTTTACTGTGTTGTGTGAAATTATTTCATTGACACATGCGGATGTGCGGCAGTAGGGGCAGATTATGAACTGGTTTGTATTGATTGTGATAGCTGTGTAGCACGTGGAAGTGGATGGAGATAAAGTACAATGTCAGGAAAGGGGGACCCTTCATGATGGACCATGTTTGATTTATGAAGTCAAATTGAGAAAGGTCTTTTTGGCCACTCCCATTTAAGAAACAATTTTGGAGATGAAATAAGGTCTTTGGAGAGGAATTTGACTAAAGCTGGGTTGTATTGGAGTAGGGACTTTTGTTGATGAATCTTTCTCTTCCTGGGAAGTCGACTTGGAATTACTCATTTGTAGAATGATTGTCCGAGTTACAGGTGTATTGTATGTGCTATGCAGAATGCTTTCTCTATTGCTAGTCTTTCTTCCATTTATGCTGGAAGTCCGTTTTTTCTTGGGTTAAGGCATCAGTTCTCTTTTTTTAAAAGAAATTATATTTGTTTTGTGTAGGTCTTCTAGGGAAAATGGTTCACGTAGTCAACACTTATGTGTGAATGAGTGAATGTATCACGCTACAGAAAACTAAAAGGAATTGTCCTTGGCTTGCCCTCTGTGTATTCACAGTCTACCTAGACTCTAGGCCCTAGTGGGAGAGAAAATAGAAACACATACTTTGGTAATTAACAAAACAAAGTGGGAATGAATGGGTGAGTTATCTCTACTCTAGGTACCAGCCTCACAGCTGGTTGTGGTAGTAAAACATACTCAGCTGATACGGACCCTGGAGCTAAGGGGCCCTCTGCAAAAACACTGCAAAGTATTTATATAGTAGGTAAAATAGTATATGGAGTATATGTGGATATATTCAGTATACAAGAGTGTAACCCCCAAAAACCAGATAGTAATTTTTTTTTAAGTGAGGGGGGAACAGTGCATTTGAAATTTATTACACCAGCAGGTCAGACTGTGAATCAAGTTTTCTATTTAGAGGTTCACAAAAGATTGCGTAACAATGTGGGACCAAAAAAGGCCTGGTTTGTGGCAGACGGGTGGGGTGGGGACGGTTTTGAAACCACCGCAATGCACCTGCTCACGCAGCCATCTCAATACATCCGCTTTTGGCAAAAAGCAGCATGCATCTCTTGCCCCATCTGCCTTACTCACCTGACCTTGCTACGTGAGACTTCTTTTTGTTTCTGGGAATGAAAAGACAGTGATTTGACGATGTAGGTGAAAGGAAAACATGAGGGAGGTGCTCTCAGCCATCCAAACATGAGTTTGAAACATGTCTCCAAGAATAGAATTGCAGATTTGACAAATGTATTAAGTGAAATGGAGAGTATTTTGAAGGTGACAGTTATTGTGTTA